AAAAAATGAACTTAAATGATTTTAGCATATGGCTGCAATATAACAGAGTGAAAAATTTAAGGGGGTCTGAATACTTTCTGTACCCATGGTATATAAACACACGTTACAGGCATGAACAGATTTACTTCTTCCTCTGTTTTCTTTACGTGACCAGTCAACCAGTCAGATGATTCAGGAAAGCCAGACATTCAGCAGACATGGTCCAGTCTGGGCTCATATTCTTGTTAAGACATGACAAACAAAAAGCAGACAGTAGGTGGATAGACATTGAGATGAGAGGCAAAAAAGGTCAGGTTTCATGTTAAGGTTCAGTGAAAAACAGAAGCAGGCCTCTATGGCTGGAAAACCCTTTCCCAGTCCCCTCTCTCAGTCCTATGGTAGAGCTGTGGCTGACCCCCAGGAAACAGGCTGTCAGAGTTGGGGTGTTCTAAAAGGAACTGAATAGTAGACTTCATGTGCTGGACAAAATGTGGTGGCTCAGCCATGGGAGAGGTGGACAGGTACTGAGCAAGAGAGAGAAACACCAGTCAAAAGCTGTTTTATAGCCCTTACTAGAGTCCTCTGTTACTCTATACACTGGGCAGTGTTATAACAGCCAGGAATGAGAAAAAAATTACATAAAAAGATTCATCAAAACACAGTTAAAGATAGATACCTTTAAAATTGTGTCATCATTTTGTGACAACCAAAAGGCAATATCCAGATTTGGAGACCAATTGCAAGGGCCAATTTTTACAAGTCCCCGACTTGAGTCATATATGTCAGCCATCTGAAAGGGAAAGAGACTTTTTTTTTAATGATCTTGGCACTGACTTTCGTGCCTCATAAAAATGAGACCATGTTGCAGATTGAATTTAAACTGAATTTGAACAGACAATACATCATCAGTTTATTGATTTAAAAAAATGCCCGTAATTTTTATAACTTTTAAAAACTTTCATTCTTCTCAAAAATGAAAATTTGTTTTCTCTGTTTTATACCATAGCATTTTGCACTCTTTGACAAACAATTTGAAGAAGTTCACTTAAGTTTCAACTATTACTAGTTAAATAAAAACACTAACAAACTGATTAACAGATAATGAAAATAGTAATTACCTGCAGCCTAAATTGAAATAATGTTTTTGTGTCACACATGTGGGATTTGTTTGCATACAAACATGACTCTTATTTATAAAAACATAATTTTGTGTTTTAGATCACCTCTCCTCCAGTGAAGGTCCGCGCTGATCGCAGCTCCTCTGCAGGCCCTTTGTGAGTGAATGACGAAGGGAACACATCCCCTGTTTTAACATTTACTCCTGTGTGGAAACACAAAGACAGTATGTTAGAGCCCACATTCAATGGTATGAACACAGCACATCCCTCTTACTCAATATTCATCACTTACCTATTCCATATACTACAGGTCTGTGAGATCCATCAACAACAATGTCATTCATTTCTACAATGACATAGAACCAAATGGTTGGTTAAAGGAAGTTATGACTGGTAGAATATTTTTTAACAAAATGAAATATTACAGTTTAGCTCTGTACCTGTGATGCAACATGTTTCTAGATGAATCTCTTCTTTCTGTTTCTGAAATGCTGCTGTAAAGTGAAAAGAGCATTTTTGAAATGCTGTCAGCATAACATTTCAATGAAACATGTGGCAACTTAACAGACTATACCCAGTATGTTAAGGCTGAGTTTATGGGATGTCTTTGACTCATCATTAAATCCCCCAACAAGATGAAGCTCAAGTCTGTGTAACAGAAAGCAAAGGAAAGGACACTGAAGAAAATCAGAACAGGACACCCAAACATACACTTTTACTACGTGTTTGACTGTGCGTGTCTTACCTGCCCTCTTTCCTGATGTTACTCAATGATGTGACAGCTTTCACAAGGAGTGGGACTTCAGACCAAGTGCTGGAGCCATCACAATGTGCGAGGCAAACTGCTCCACTTCCTAAAAAATATCAACATTCAATCATGGTAGCCATTAAAACATCACTCCATAACTTCATACACAGGCTGAATAAAGCACACAGCATAAATGTAATAAAAATAAGTTACCGGTGTGTTGCAGCACAACCAAATGGCACGTGGTGGCATCATCAGATCCAATGACTGAAACACAATCTGAAAAAGACAGGGCAGGAAGGCATATTCTGATTCAGAATGGTTAACCCAGGGTATTATCTGGTAGTCAGTCACAGGCCAGAAAATACTGTAATTCCAACATGTCATGCCAAAGAGTCCAAAGGAAGAAAAAAAAAGCCTGCATTGCTCCTTATTCAAAAGATGTCTTGTGGCTGAACTTACTGCATTAAAGTCTACTACTGTTGATGGAGACATTGCTATGTGTGCTGGATTCTTGAATAACAGTGGCTGGGAACTGTGGCACTGTTAACCAACTTGTGCTTCGACTTTCAAGTAGATTTTACAGCAATATGTAAAAGCAACCAATTAAGAACTAAGCTCTGTCATCCAAAATAACATAGGAGTGAGCTGAGAAAAGAGAAGGGTCAATGATCTGTTCCAGGCATGTAGCTTTACTCACTGTCTGATGGTGTTGTTGCAGCAAATTCCCTTTGTTGGACATACAGGAGGCACTTTGGATCAATCTCAACAAGAGGCTTGGAGTGAAATGTTCTTGCATTTTCCTGTGATTTAATAGTAAATGGTGCAAAAATGTCAGAATTTACCCTGGCTGTTATGGATACAATGAAACCAAACACCATCGACCACGTCATAATCATTAGTTTACTTCACAGACTGTAAATCTTCAGCTTTGGGATTGGATTGATCTTATTATTGCTTGACTTCATTTAGATTGAGAGCTGTTATAAAACTTTAATTAGAGCCCTTATTTTTTATCCTCCCGATGTGTTGCTATAAAACAATTAAAGACCTTAGTGTCAAAATAATTATACAGTAAGTAGTACCCCATTTGTGATCATTGAAGGATCAAACTCTTTTAGCAAGAGAGCTTTGTCGTTAGTACGTTAGTTTCCAAAGAATTCATTTACAATTAGTTATACTAATTTAGATGTAAGGTTAAAAAAAAAATCATGATCTGGCTGATTTACGTCTGCCACCACGTGAAAGGACAGATCCCATTACCATTGATCAATATCAATTTTCGCTTTAACCATTAACTGCCAGTCTGTCATATAGTGACTGCTTGACAAAAAGCATTGTTAACTGATTATGACAATTTCTCAGCAGGCTAAAATTAGCCACATTTTCTGGAAACAAACCTTTAAATGTGGGTATCTGTCGAACAATTCTGTTGTCGAGCTTATGCAGTCAACTCCCCTATTTTGAATTAACAAAGGCATTTCTTCTTCTTCTCTTAGCTTAATGGCAGGTCGCAAAACAAAGGCATTTCCTTAAGGTCTACTTTAAAAATAACTTCCTATTTCTATATCAAAACATCATCAGCTTCAACTTCCTGCGAGATTTTCTTTCTCTGCTGTTTCAGCTACAAAGGGGCTCCCAGTCTCTGCTACAGCGCCACCAAGTGGTAATAAAGTGCAAATGTATACACGACTCTAATTCACCATCTTTACTTAGTGAACATTTGTACGTAGTGTCAATTCCTGGAAAACAAAGTTACGTAGAATTAGTAGTTGAAGGTGCGTCGCCAAAGACGAGCAGGGAAGGAAGAAGCGAAGCTGCTAGCTACGTGACGCACATAACACTTGTTTAAAACCAGCATTATTTAAGTGTATTTCTTATCTAATATAAATATAATTATAAGCTAAGGAAGTCTCATGTGTTTTGCGAGTGAAAATAGCGTCTATTTCGCAGTTTATTAACGCGCATAGCACAATCAAAGCGGTGCTAAACGTTAAAGCTAACGTAACATTACAAATACAGCGCAGAAGATAGTATTTATTTCGTCAACATGAGAGGGGGTTCTTCATATGGGGACAGAGACAGGGACCGTGGGCGAGACAGGTAAGATTTTACTTCATATATGAAAACAGCACCCGTATTTATTTTTTTATAGTTAGCGTTAATGTTACACCTCACAAGAAGTTTCACTCAAGCTCATTGCCTTTCTAACGCTTAAGTGCTCACTTAGCAGCGGGCCGATAAATGCAGCACGAAATACACGCACATACCTTGTTACGTTCACAGTAACGTTAAATACTGCATTAAAATGTACATATGACATAGTAGCTATTGTGTAGCATTAGCCCAAAACTGACCTTAAGGTGCCGCCAGGGGTACGTTAAAGGTCATGTCGCCAAGTCAGTAGCCCGAAACACAGCACTCAGCTGGTCCTGAATAGGCCTGTCTAAATTTGTCCTGATGGTGGCAATAAAGATGAAGTTACGGGATCACCAAAATTAGCTTGTTTCTTTTCTTTTATAACCAAAGTCATATTTTTTCTTATCGATATCAATTGTTATATGTGAATCCTCTGGATCAGCAGTTTAAGTTGTTGCATAAGTTTTCTAACCATCACAAAACCACGACAACAGTCACAAGAGAGTTTAGTTACAGACAAGATGGTGGACTACAGACCTTGGCAGTTAGCCAGAACTTGTTAACCTTGGCAGGTTTACTGTTGGGGCTAGGTTAGTGTGAGGGGTTAGGATTAGGGGTTTGGAGTTAACATAAAATCTAACCAATAATTTAGGGATAAAGGTTACCAGACAAGGTTGACAGTGTGCAAATGTGGGTCGCAGTCTGTCTGGTGCATACAGTATCATAACACAAACTGTAAACTATTCATGTGCAGATTAGTAGGTCTAGCTGTAATTGCCCTGTATCAAACTTCACTGTTGATAAAATATAAGAAACAGATGATAGATGTGTTCAAATAAATAATAGTAGACTATGTAGGCTAAATTGTGCATTGCATTCATCTGTAGCCTATTAGTCTGCATGGGCTTCCAAGTAGAAATACAGAATTGCCACTGTGGACTTCTCAAAATTACCAGTTTCATATTTAAATATGTTGGTCACAGACAAGATAGCACATTGAAATGATTAGAGCTTGATCTCTTGATGAAGGCAGTAGCTACAGTATTGATACTGATTCTCCAGTGCTTGTCATCTCTTGACCCTTATTTCTCAGGCCCCGGTTTGGGGCTATGACTGGTCGTGGTGGACCGCCACCAATGAAGTTTGGGAATCCAGGTGAGCGTCTTCGCAAGAAGAGGTGGAACATGGATGAACTGCCAAAATTTGAGAAGAACTTCTACGCTGAACACCCCGAGATTCAACGCATGAGTCAGGTAGGTCTGTTAATAGCTAGCTAACACCAGAGGTATTCTGAAAAATATGACATTATCCACATGTGTGTTTCCTGTTTTTTTCCCTCTTTTGCTTTTTGCTGTTATATCCAGTATGAAATGGAAGAGTTTTGCAGAAAGAAGGAGATCACCATCAGAGGCACTGGCTGTCCAAAAGCAGTCACGGCTTTTCATCAGGCGCAGTTTCCTCGTTAGTAAACCATACAGTACACCTACTACAATATGTACACATTTAATCCAAGGGAAACATTAGCATATGCTGTGTTATTTATTTATTTGTACTCTTTCCAGTATCTGTTGACTTCAAAATATAATTTAGCTTTGAAGCACACATACATGGTTAATAAAAAAAAATATGCAATGTTAGTAAAGTGTGTGTAACAAGGCAAAGATTATCTCCTTCCGTCTTCTGGCAGAGTATGTCATGGATGTGCTGATGCAACAGAACTTTGAGGAGCCCACAGCGATCCAGTCTCAGGGTTTTCCTGTGGCCCTGAGTGGCAAGGACCTGGTGGGGATTGCACAGACTGGCTCTGGAAAGACTCTGGCTGTAAGAATACCTGGCTATCAGTCGGCATGATGATGACACTTTATTGGATAAGTTTATAATTTATGTACATAGCACATTTCACAAGATGGAGGAAAAATATATGCATTATAGGAGAAATGCGATATAAAGTCAAGAACAAATGCCTATCAGGAAAAGACATGTAACTGCAGAAGCACAGCATTCAGATAATTTAAGAAACACTAGGAACGGTTTTAAAAATGAATTCATAGGATGTTTTATTGATTTGCTTTTTTGCTGTTTATCTTCTGTACCTTATTGTTCCCCGTAGTATCTTCTTCCTGCTATTGTACACATCAACCATCAGCCCTATCTGGAGAGGGGAGATGGTCCAATTGTAAGTACCTAAGCCAAAATGTGTCAATAATCTATTAGGTAAGTGTTTTATCAGTCTGTAAAACCCTTCCTCCTCTCTTCTAAGTGCCTGGTGCTGGCCCCAACCAGAGAGCTGGCTCAGCAGGTTCAGCCGGTCGCATATGACTATGGCAAGT